TTCGGATATTTCCTTATTAAGAATTTCCCTTTGTTTGTCTGACATCTTTTGTATATTTTGTTTTCCTAAATATTGATTTATCTTTTCCCTATCAATCTTCTCATTCTGGTATAATTTCTTGTAAAAGTTAAAGAATTGACTTCTAATCTCTTTTTCTTGAGTATATGTTTTGTCTTTATCTGAACGGTTTGGGACGCGCCTACCTGCACGACTGCATTTCCATCTACGAACCTACGCGGCCTCTTTGATCTTCCAGAGAGGCCATTCTCTCGATCCTGCCCTCATCGCAAGTGCGACTTGTGGGGACGAGAGAGAGGGCCTTCTCTGTGGTAGCCCCTCGGCTCTGGAATTCGCTCCCCAAAGATATTAGGCAACCCCCCACCCTGGCAATCTTCAGGAGCGTGAAAACTTGGCTGTTCCAATATGCCTTCAATGATTGAATGTATGATAATCCCTGACCAAACTCTGCATAAAATGCCCTCAGAAGCATTTTATTTTCTGGTCTATGCAATTAAATCCTACCTTATCCCCCAGATCCCCTTCCTGATATTTTACACTGCCCTATCTCCCAGTGTTTTAAAATCTTTATCTTGAATTTGGCCCTGCCCACTGTGATCATTTTTAGTGTTTTAATGTTTTGATTTTATATTGTCGTACTGCTTATTTACATTGATTTTGTATTTTATGTTATCTTATTTTCTGATTTTCTGTTGTGTTTTTGTGTTATATTGTGTTTACTGTATTGATGGGCATGGCCTCATGTAAGCCACACCCGAGTCCCCTCAGGGAGATAGTGGCGAGGTATAAATAAATTATTATTATTATTATTACTATTATTATTATTATTGGGACAGGTTAGTTGAAGGACCGTATATCTCTCTGTGAGCCTGCTAGAGTTCTGCCAAAAACTGGGGAGGATCTTCTCTCTGTCCCACCCTGTCCCACTTAAGCTTTGTTGATAGGAGTAAAGGCGAAAGCCTTCCTGGTGACTACCACCAGACCTTGGAACCCCCCCCCCCCCACAAAAGAGAACTGGATGGCTCCCAGATTGAAGTTTGCAGGCAAGTGAAACATATTTCTGCCTTCAAGCCTTTGGGAGAAGATAAATGCTGCTAGGGAAGTTGTGAGTGGGACTTCTGAGAGGATGTTTATTTTTTAAATATAATTTTTAATTGTATTTTAACTGTACTTTAATCTATATTTTAACTTTTGTATCCTTGACACATTTTTTTAACTTTTATGTTAGCCTTCCTTTAAAATTTTATTGGATTGTGTCATGTGGTCATTAGCTGCGCCGGGTCTCTAGAACTTCACATGGCCATGCAGGAATCACACTGAAATAAAGAGAATATAGCTGGCAGGAAAATGAATTCAGATCTTATTATGTGCTCATGGACTAGTCTCCAAGCAGATTCTTATTCTGTTGAGAAATCCAACAAGCAAGCTGGCTTTGATCTAGAATGAATGCCCAGCCCTATTATTTGGCTTTCTAATCCACCGCTTTATGTAACGGGAAATACAACGGATAAGGAAGTAAAAGAAGATTAGCAAAAGGTCATCATAATCTGATAGTGAACATAATTCAAGGTTAATGTAACTTCAAGCTGGTTAACAAGCTGGTCATTATTATAAAAAGAAATTTCAAACAAAGAATTTAAAAAGCTACATAACCGTGCTATTTATTATATTATTTAAAAACCTTTTAGGAGTTAAGAGGAGACATATTTATTTACTTCAGTGGCTCCCAACCTTGTTTTTTTTAACCAGGGACCACTCTCCAACATTAGTACCAAAAGGGTTACGAATCAGTTTGGTTATTTGGGGTACTGATTCAGAAATCTGCATTGGATAGACCACGTCAGCTCTAGTTTCTGATACAGAACATATGCCATCCAGTAGTCACCATCTGCTCGCCCACAGAAAACCATATTTAATAATCTAGAGCAGATGTGGTCAATCCAATGCAATTTTCTGAATCAGCACCCCAAATAACCCCAGGAACAGGCCCAAAAACAAAGATACCAATATATTTTTTTACTTGGAATGTGTGGAATTTTGTTAATGCTCATGTAAAAAAAAAAGAAAGAAAAGGAGGGAGGGGGCTGAGGTTAAAAAAAATGCAAAAAGTGGAGCGCAAGACCCAAGAAACTATCCCTAACGGCTTTAAAAATAATAATTACTTTGGGGGACAAAACAGGGTATTACAAAGGGATGTTCTCCCATTACAACTCTTGTGTTCAGCAAAGGAAGGTTATTATTATTATTATATACAAAATCCAGCATATACAATTCAAGGTGCTGGCTTTAGCCTATAAAGCCCTAAACGGTTCTGGCCCTGCTTACCTCTCCGAACGCATCTCCACCTATGAACCGACGAGGACGTTAAGATCGTCCGGGGAGGCCCTGCTCTCGGTCCCGCCTGCGTCGCAGGCGCGGCTGGCGGGGACGAGGGACAGGGCCTTCTCGGTGGTGGCCCCTCGGCTATGGAATGCCCTACCCGTAGACATCAGGCAGGCCCCTTCGTTGCTGGAGTTCCGGAGGAAGGTCAAGACGTGGCTCTATGAACAGGCGTTCGGTCAACAAGGCAACTGAACTCATGAAGACGGTATAAATGAACAAAGGAATGGTAGAAGGATTATGAGAACGGAATCTGATTTTTACTGAGGCGTTGATGACTATGTTGTGTTGTCTTGTATTGTCTGTCGTGTATGTTGTGTTTTAACTAATTGTTATTGTTATATAAATTGCATTGTAAACCGCATTGAGTCGCCGAATTAGGCTGAAAAATGCGGTATAAAAATAAAGCAAATAAATAAATAAATACTGTATATCTCGTTTGCTGTGTCGTAATGCATTTTTGTGTCAGTAGGGCTGCTTTCCCATTACAACTGATGTGTGCAATGGGAGCAGCTAATAATAACCACAACAATTTTGGGGACTTCTCCTTCTCTCTCTTGCTCCCTCATGCATTCTCAACCCTGGCCAAGGAAGCCTCACAAGGCCGAGAAAGCAATGGCGAATGCAACGGCCTTCCTTCCTTCCTTTTCCTTCCTTCCTTTCCTCTCCTTCTCCAACTCGCACCCCTTACACATGCTGCCGGGTAAGTCTTCTCTGCCGAGAAAACGCTGGTGAGGGCAACGAGCTGGCGTCTCCTTCCTTCCTTCCTTCTCTCCCTCTCACGGACCTTATTTTAGGTCTCGCAGCCCACCAGTGGTTCCCAAGGGTTGGGAACCCCTGAATATAAACTTTCCGGGAAAGTGTCAACCCCCACTCCCCAATCTCATCATCAGAACTTCATTTATATATCAAGGATGTATTTTACTATTAAAAGTTCCATGGCCCATGATTTCCTTTGATTTAATTATCTGCATCCCCGGATGCCAACGGCACAACACTTTTATTATACATATATAATGTCACTTTCAATACTAATCATGGTGTTCTGAGACCCAAACAAAATTGAATCTGCACTTAAAAAGTAATTAGGCTAAATAAAATGTCACCGGTGACAGCATGACTTCAGGAACAACTTAGAAAGAGATCATTATTTCAGTTATAAAAGCTAACAGAAAATAATGGAACCTCAACTGCGGTTTTGTAAAGAAACCCTTTTAGATTTTGCACATCCAGCACTGAAACAGCCCAAAAGGAATCACAGAAAGCTATAGCAAGGTCATTCTAGTATGGAAGCCAGTAAGTGAGAGAAACTTATTACAAAACTTTTTTCCTTAAATACTCAATTTATTTTTTAAAATGTAACTCTGTAGATCAGTTATAAACGTGCTTGCTTCCTCTACTATTTGAAATCCAAAACATCTAATAGACCAAGGTTGAGAATCACCACTTTATAATGTCATCATGATGACATTATTCAGAAGCACCAACATTTCACTCCAACAGTAAATGTGTAAAACAAATCACACTTAAATTCTGCTTCTTGTAGAGTTAACATGTGGCAGGCTAAAATACCACCAAGTAGAGGGTTTTCCAAAGGCAAAAAAGACATTTTAAAAAATGTATTGTGAAACTGGCTATCAAAATGTTAACGGTATTCATCTACATCAGTGTTTCTCAACCTGGGGGTCAGGACCCCTGTGGGGGTTGCGAGGGGGTGTCAGAGAAGTCTCAAAAGACCATCAGAAAACATAGTATTTTCTGTTGGTCATGAGGGTTCTGTGTGGGAAGTTTGGTCCAATTCTATCGTTGGTGGGGTTCAGAATGCTATTTCATTGTGGGTGAACTATAAATCTCAACAACTACAACTCCCAAATGGCAAGGTCTATTTTCTCCAAACTCTACCAGTGTTCACATTTGGGCATATTGAAGATCTGTGCCAAGTTTGATCCAGATCCATCATTGCTTGAGTCCACAGTGTTCTCTGGATGTAGGAGAACTACAACTCCAAAAACTCAAGTCCACCAGACCTTCCCAGTATTTTCTCTTGGTCATGGGAATTCTGTGTGCCATGTTTGATTCAATTCCATCATTGATGGAGTTCAGAAAGCTAAGGTGAACTATAAATCCCAGCAACTCCAGAATTACCAAATGACAAAATCAATCCCCCCCAATCCCACCAGTATTCAAATTTTGGGCGTATCAGGTATTTGTGCTAAATTTGGTCCAGTGAATGAAAATACATCCTGCATATTTACATTATGACTCTTAACAGTAGCAAAATTACAGTTATGAAGTAGCAACGAAAATAACGTTATGGTTGGGGGTCACCACAACATGAGGACCTGTACTAAGGGGTCGCGGCATTAGGAAAGTTGAGAACCACTGATCTACATCTATTTTATGGAACAGCAATGCCCACAAATGGAAGCAAAAATTCCTCAACAGCATTTACTGCAGCCCCAATGATTGCAATGAACAGGAAAGACCCTACCAATCTGAAAAGTGATGTGTGCAGAGTAATCAATGATAATGCTCTATTATATTATCTTTTTGAAAGAAACCTGCTATTCAAACCTTTCACTCTGGATGCAATTATCACTTACCATCATCTAGAGTGATGTCTTGCAGCCCCATTGTCTGAAAATTCAACTCTCGATCCTCTGGTTCAGGCTTAACGTTAACAGCTGACCCCTCTGATGAAAATGGAGATGTATCACAAATGGGATGGTGCATTAAAGATGACGCTGCGGCAATTCCTCCCAAACCTGGGCTATGTGCCTGTGGGGACTGCTGTCCACAGTGACCAACAGCATTTGGAGGTGGAGATGAGGCAGGTCCTGAGCTAGGAGTCTGGTAAGGCATGGGTTGCAACTGTGGTGAAGATGGCCCAGACCGTGGTGAATGGACCAAAGAATGAGAAGAGTTTGGTGATGGTGATGGAGTATTACCTTGGTTTGAAGCACTGTAAGTGACCTGCTGCAACTGTGAAGAAGGGTGCCCAAGGGATGGAGTCATTGCAGAAGAAGAGACTGAGCCTTGCTGAGCGTTTGGACAATGGTACCCCACTGGTTGAAGGTGGGGTGAGGGCTGTCTGGACTGGGCTGTCGCAGCCGGCGTTGACACGGACCCTGAAGAATGATACGGCATTGGTGGCAGAGATTGGCAGCTAAGGTTCATCAATGGAGATACAGTTGCATCTTGCTGAAATGGAATTGCATCATATCCTTGGCTGGAGGAGGCAGAGTTCATGGGAAGACCAGGCTGTCCATTGTATATAACGTTAGATTGCATAGGCTGGTAGGAAGGCCTCGTAGAAGGGGTTGCCGTGACCTGAAAAGACTGGTGAACTCCAGCTGAGGACAAAACAGAATGCTCTTCGCCTGGACTGATACTTCTACCCTGAATGTGGGACAACTGGGACACTGCTGAGGACACCATGGGGGTGTATGTCTGCTGAGCAGGGCATACAAGGCTCCTGGGTGAGGCTGAAAGTAAAGTCTCATGTGAGAGCCCTGGATCGGGGGAAGGCAGCTGAGTTTGGAGAGAAGAGAGTCCTTTCACACCTGGGCAATGAGTCAGGGACAGGGATGGAAGCGAAGACAAATCCATTTCATCTCTGTTCTCTTGCTTCAGTACAACTGCGTAATAGAAGAGAAGCCAACTTAAATGTACTGATAGAACAACAAATATTAAAACGAATCACAGATGCGACATTATATGCTGTCAGAAGCATGGACAACTATAGAGGTTTGGAGAAGTGCAGAGAAAAGCCTGGAAATGGCTGTATCAACACTTGCGGGGATTAGAAATCCTGGCCTAAATCCAGCTAGAGCAGAACCACAAATCAATGGGAACGACATGTGTCAAATTTACTATTTGGTCTTTCCTACTTTATTATCTAACCACATATTCTATTTTTATTTACTGCATTTTACCCTGCTCTATCTCAACCCTGAAGGGGAGTCAGAGCAGCTTCCAGACTGGCAATATTCAATGTCACATTAAATATAAAAACATACAAATACAAACTAGAATATACATTAAAATAATTAAAAAGTTACAAAAACAATGGCATATAAATATAATACATACATTTATATATATTACATATATAAATATATTACATATATTACAAATATATTACATATAATGTTAAACATTGCATGTAGACCCGAAATCTTAGTCATCATCATAATAATCTCATACTTTGTTGTTGTCTCATACTCTATGGCAGTGTTTCACAACCTAGTGGTCGGGACCACTGGGAGGGCCGTGAGGGGTTGTTAGAGGGGTCACCAAAGACAATCAGAAAAGACAGTATTTCTGTTAGTCGTGGGGGTTCTGTGTGGGAAGTTTGGTCCAATTCTATCATTGGTGGGGTTCAGAATTTGATTGTAGGTGGACTATAAATCCCAGCAACTGCAACTCTATTTTCCCCCAAACTCCTCCAGTGACCACATTTAGGCATATTGAGTATTTGTGCCAAATTTGGTCCAGATCCATCACTGTTTGAGTCCACTGTGCTCTCTGGGTGTAGTGAACTACAACTCCAAAACTCAAGGTCAATGCCCATCCAATCCTTCCAGTATTCTCTGTTGGTCGTGGGAGTTCTGTGTGTCAAGTTTGGTTCAATTGTTGGTGGAGTTCTGATTGCTCTTTGATTGTGGGTTAACTATAAATCCCAGCAACTACAACTCCCAAATGATAAAATCAATCCCCTCAACCCCACCAGTATTCAAATTTGGGTGTATTGGGTATTTGTGCAAAATTTGGTTCAGTGAGTGAAAATACATCCTGCCTATCAGATATTTACATTACGATTCATAACAGTAGCAAAAGTACAGTATGAAGTAGAAACGAAAATAATTTTGTGATTGGGGGTCACCACAACATGAGGAACTGTATTAAGGGATTAAGGGCATTAGGAAGGTTGAAAAACACTGCTCTTTGGTTTGCTCTTTGAGGTTGAAACTATATCATGTTGTTACCTGGAAACCGCTCTGAGTCCCCTCAGGGAGATGGAGCAGTATATAAATAACGATTATTATTATTATTATTATTATTATTAGTAGTAGTAGTAGTAGTAGTAGTAGTAGTAACAACAACAACAATAATAATAAAATTAAATAACGACAATACATTTATCTTGCTCTCTGATTTGTCTACACCCCCTATTCTACTGTATCTCTATAAGGGTTCTAACTGTAGAAAATATATAATAATTCAATTATAGATCATATCCATTTCCTTTATCCAGACAGGGGTTGCCTCCATCACAATTACTGGAATTATTGAAACACAAATAAAACATTTCAAGACATTTTAAGGAAATCCAACCAACTAATAAAGGCAGAACAATTTCAATATTTCATAACATAACATGGACCCACAAATATTAAATAGATAACATACAGGAGTTAACAATGTCAATTCAAGATTAAGTTTGGGAACCCAAACTTTTTAATCAGGTTTAAGTTCAAGTTGTTTATTTATTGTGTGATTCTGCACATTTTACACCAAAGATCATGATAAGGTGGGCAAAAATAATTCTCAAACTTTATTAAGCCTCAATATATTGAGATGTTATTTTACACATGTTATACTTCTGGCAGGGCCCGCTGGTGGTGCAGTGAGTTAAGCCATTGAGCTGCTAACCTTGCTGACCAAAAGGTTGGCGGTTTGAATCAGGCAGTGAGGTGAGATCCCACTGTTAGGCCCAGCTTCTGCCAACCTTGCAGTTCGGAAACATGCAAATGTGAGTAGATCAATAGGTACCACTTCTGCGGGAAGGTCAGGGCGCTCCATGCAGTCATGCCAGCCAAATGACCCTGGAGGTGTCTACGGACAATGCCAGCTCTTCAGCTTAGAAATGGAGATGAGCACCCCCCACCCCCCAGAGTCGGACATGATTAGACTTAATGTAAAAGGCAAACCTTTACCTTTACTTATACTACTGGCATTACTATGCAACATTTTGAAATGTTTTTTTTCTCACAACAATAACATAAACATATATTACTGGTGCCATATGACATTCAAGGTAATTCTCTTACTCCTTCCAATGACTAGAGATGTGGTTGTAGGCATCCATGATGCAGGATAGCAAGAAGCTTGCATGCAGCCAGACACAAATGCTTTTACTATAACTGTATCCTCCATCAATAGATAAATAAACAATTTCTGCTTTAAGACCACCTTGCCTTCTCTCCTGAAGCTTGAATATTCCGAATGTCTTCCTTTTCCTTTTGATGCAACTGATTAATAATAATAATAATAATAATAATAATAATAATAATAATAATAAACCTTTATTTATACCCCGCTAACATATCCCGAAGGACTCGGTGCGGCTTACAAGAGGCCGAGGCCCAACACATCAATAAAACAAATTGTAGCATCTGGGCAAACACTCAAAATCCCATTCAAGCAGTTTCAAAAAAAAATTCCCCTCACCCAAAACAATAGTGAAGAGCCATAGTAATGTGAAACTGAGTACATTTTTAACATCATCCATAATTCACACTCAGCAGATCATACATACCTGGAGTGTACGTAAAACGCTGAGACTGGCTTTTTTTCCTCTTGCCGTTGCAAACATAAAACTGCACCTGGACAGCAGCTGAAATCGATTTGTTGTGATACGGAGGAACTTCAAGAACAATTGTAGCCTGGATAAAAATGAATGAAGTTACATATTAAAGGCAGAGTGTACCTTATAAACTCTTTCCACACAAGGTCACCCGATGAAGGATATGTTCTCTCTTCTAAAATAAGATTTATTAAGATTATGGCACTGACCCTCTGAAGTTTATTTATTTATGGTGTCAGAAGTGAATTGAGGGTACAGTTATAATGTATTTAAAAACACAAAGTTGCCATTATACTAAATGTCCTTTGACCAGAAGCTGGCCACTTGAACCGCCTCTGGTGTCTCTGTTGGAAGGTCCTCTATCGTGCATGTGGCAAGGCTCAGGTTGCATTGTACTAAGTGGTTCGTGGTTTGCTCTTCTCCACTTTGTAGCCCCATTTCTTAGATAGCTCAGCACGTTGTGGTGCCAAAGCACAGACTGTTCAACACCTTCCAAGTTGCCCAGTCTTCTGTGTGCCCAGAGGCGAGACTCATCCAAGCATCCCCTGGGCAATGTCTTTGTAGATAGCTGATTCTCTCACATCAGAAGCTACTTGCAGCATGCAACCCTCTGAAGTAATGGTGTCTTCTTACAGAATTTATTTATTTATTTGTTTGTTTGTTTATATGCCGCCCTTCTCACCCCAAAGGGGACTCAGAGCAGCTTACAAGGTATGTATTACATACAATATATTATATTATTAGCATACTACAATATTAGCATTAAACATTGCTATACTGCACCATACCACTATATCGTAATATTATTAGTAATAATATAAATATATAATTATAATATCATATTATTATTATATTGCACTACATTATAATATTATAAATATTATATGTATATACAATATATTATATTATATTATATTTTTGTTGTTGTTCACTCGTTCAGTCGTCTCCGACTCTTCGTGACCTCATGGACCAGCCCACGCCAGAGCTCCCTGTCGGCCGTTACCACCCCCAGCTCCCTCAAGGTCAGTCCAGTCACTTCAAGGATGCCATCCATCCATCTTGCCCTTGGTCGGCCCTCTTCCTTTTGCCTTCCACTTTCCCCAGCATAATTGTCTTCTCTAGGCTTTCCTGTCTCCTCATGATGTGGCCAAAGTACTTCAACTTTGTCTATAGTATCTTTCCCTCCAGTGAGCAGTCGGGCTTTATTTCCTGGAGGATGGACTGGTTGGATCTTCTCGCAGTCCAAGGCACTCTCAGCACTTTCCTCCAACACCACAGCTCAAAAGCATCGATCTTCCTTCGATCTTCCTTCGATATATTATATTATATTATATTATATATTATAATATAATATTATATTATATATTTATATTATATTATATTATATTATATATTATATTATATTATATTATATTATATTATATTATTAGAATAGCACAGGAGACAAGGTGGAATTGTCTCCTGGCCCTCTCTCTCTCCACTCTGGCCCAGAGCGACAGAACAGCATTCTTATAGAGCATCACTACCATGGTTATATAAAAACACAAGCAGAAGGTGGTTAAAATACTTTCGCCCATTTTTGCTGCTGTCCCACTACCTTGGATTCCTCTTTCTACACAATTATCTATTTTGTCAGGAGCCCTCAGTGGCACAACGGGTTAAACCCTTGTGCCAGCAGGACTGAAGACCGACAGATCGGAGGTTTGAATTCGGGGAGAGTGTGGATGAGCTCCCTCTGTCAGCTCCAGCTCCCCATGCGGGGACATGAGAGAAGACTTCCACAAGGATGGTAAAACAGCAAAACATCCAGGCATCCCCTGGGCTACGCCCTTGCAGACAGCTAATTCTCTCACACCAGAAGCAACTTGCAACTTTTTCAAATTGCTCCTGATATGAAAAAAAAACTATTTTTGTCAACTTCTTTCAGCTTCCTGAAGTCTCTCCACACAGTTCTGTCCTTATATCATGGGCCTCCAAATATATATAATGTAATATAAATCTGTCGTCTGCACGGTTTTATGTCAGAACTCTTTCAATCAGGAGCTCAGTTCTCACATATACTAGAGCAGTAAAAAGCAGAAGTCTTTCCCCAGAGGAATATAGGGAGCTGTCATTTATGTATTTATTTATTTACAGTATTTATATTCCGTCCTTCTCACCCCGAAGGGGACTCAGGGCAGATTACAATGTACACATATATGGCAAACATTCAATGCCAAAGACACACAACAGATATAGACGAACAGTCAGAGACTATTTAACTTTTTCTGGCTGCCAGGGGAGCTGTCGCTTTCATCGTCCATCTGCGACACTGATGAAGTACTTCCGCATTCCCCGCATGCTTTGCTGTAGTCTTTATGGCCTCATAAATTAGTTAAATTAGCCTCCCCACACATAGGTGGTATCTAATTTTCCTACATGACAGATGCAACTGTCTTTCGGGTTGCAAAGGTCGACAACAAGCTACACAATTGGTTGGAAGCTCACTCCGACCCTGGCTGGCTTCGAACTCATGACCTTGTGGTCAGAAGTGATCTTAATGCAGCTGACACTCAGACAGCTGATCTTTATCTATATAGACTAACTTTTCATATCAGAAATATTTTTTCAAATCTACCTACAGATGTCAAAATGGAACCTCATACGATTTGTATACCCTGAGCTACCGATTTTCCTGAGTAACTGAAGGAATGGCATTGTATCAGAAATTATGATTCCCAGAAAGAGAAAAGATGCATCAAAATACATTAGAAACTTCTTTCTCATATTCTCACATTCAAAAGTAATATGTTTCCTTGACGCTAGAACAAACTACAAAAGGCTAAAAGCTCAATTTTAACTGTAGTGTAACTTAGTTGTTTTGGTTGCTTTGAAGTGAGCAGGTAAATAAAAAAGCCCTTCCTATATTTAACTGATGTGAAAGAAAATATTAATAACTTATTTCTTTAAAAGTACTAGTAACTAGTGACATTTATGGTGAACCACATTATATTGACTTTTTTGCCAAGTTATTACAAGACTGATTTTATTTTTAAAAATAGCTTTAAAAGGCTTCTTACCTCTTGACTTCTCTCCCTAATTATTTTTCCTTCCACCTCCCACTGGGGCCGTCCATCTATCAAGAGAAAAGTTTCAGTTCAAATCAGAATATTCAAACATAATTAAACTATTAAGGGTGGATGCAACACAGACTTAAAATTCTTAACAGAAGTTGTGACTTGTGAACGACGTGCCTCCTTAAAATACATTCTCAACATCATTGCCATGCACAGCACTGAAGTGAGGTTGCCTTGATTAACGATGCTTAGGAGCAGAGTCTCCCGGCTAGGGAAAAAGTCTATAAATGAAAATGCTGTGCAGACAAAGCTGGGATCAAGGAGAAATCTGAAAGAAGGGAAATCAGGTGATGTGTTGGCACAGGACCCATTCAAAATTAACTTGTGGAATAGACTGATATAATTGCAAAAAGAACAAACAGGACAGGTGGATTCAGATATACATAGATAGAAATGGTGACTACATCAGGAGGAGAAAATTAGTGGCAAAGTGCTGACACAACTTCTTATTGTGAGAAAATCCTGCACTCATCTAAGCACCTCATGGACATGTGGCACATGAATTAGATATTGTGCCACTTTGGTTTTGTGGGATTTTCAGGCTCTGTTAATGCCAACAGAATGTAGTGGAAATGAAATATCTGAAGATGATACTAGTAATAGTTTATCTTCACTGTATACATAAATGCCTTAGACCAGAAAAAGAACTAAGATTCTCCCTAAAATTACCATATATACTCGAGTATAAGCAGACCCAAATGTAAGCCAAGGCACCTAATTTTACCACAAAAAACTGGGGAAACGTATTGACTTGAGTATAAGCCAAGGGTGAGAAATCCAGCAGCTACTGGTATATTTCAAAATAAAAATAAATACCCATAAAATTACATCAATTGAGGCATCAGTAGGTTCAATGTTTTTGAATGTTTACATAAAACTGTAGTTTAAGATAAGACTGTCCAACTCTGATTAAACCATTCTTCGATGTAAATGTGCTTACGTATCCTTCCAATAATAAGAAAGAGAGTAAAATAATAAATGTAATAATAATAATAATAATAATAATAGAGTAAAATAATGGAAATATAACGATAACAGTAATAACAGAGTAAAATAATAAATGTAATAAAATAATAATAATAATAATAATAACAACAACAGAATAAAATAATAAATAACCTTGACTCGAGTATAAGCCAAGGGGAACTTTTTCAGCCTAAAAAGGGGGCTGAAAAACTAGGCTTATACTCGAGTATATACAACAACAACAACAACAACAACAACAACAATAATAATAATAATAATAGTTAAATAATAAATGTAATAAAATAACAATAATAACAGAATAAAAAAATAAATAACCTTGACTCGAGTATAAGCCAAGGGGAACCTTTTCAGCCTAACTAGGCTTATACTCYAGTATATACAATAATAATAATAATAATAATAATAATAACAATAACAATAATTAAATAATAAATGTAATAAAATAACAATAATACCAGAGTAAAATAATAAATAACCTTGACTCGAGTATAAGCCAAGGGGAACTTTTTCAGCCTAAAAAGGAGCTGAAAAACTAGTCTTATACTRGAGTATATACAATAATAATAATAATAATAATAATAATAATAATAATAATAATAATAATAAAATAATAAATGCAATAAAATAACAATAATAACAGAGTAAAAAAATAAATAACCTTGACTCGAGTATAAGCCAAGGGGAACCTTTTCAGTCTAAAAAAGGGGCTGAAAAACTAGGCTTATACTCGAGTATATACAATAATAATAATAATAATAATAATAATAATAATAATAATAGTAATAGTAATAGTTAAATAATAAATGTAATTAAAAAATAATACCAGAGTAAAAAAATAAATAACCTTGACTCGAGTATAAGCCAATGGGAACTTTTTCAGCCTAAAAAGGGGCTGAAAAACTAGGCTTATACTCAAGTATATACAGTATGTTTCAGTTTAAAACCTCAATATGATCTTCTTAAACAACTGACAAGACCACATTTATTTACAATACACGCATCTTCGCTTTAAACCTAAAATAAAACACTTTCCACGATGTCTAATGAAGAGTAACTTACCTTGCCCCTTTTCAAGAAAGATCACTTTTGATTCTGGAAGGAAGTTAGATCCACTTATAACCAGTTCATGACCTCCATTTACTGAGGAACTGTTGATGCTGTATTTCTCGATCTGAGGAAGTTCTTGGGCTGATCTCTGGGCTTTGTGAAAAAGATATACAAAAATATGTCAGTATGTTGGAACTAGGAAAGTACAATACTAAACGCCTTAGCGTATGAAGTACAACATATATTTTATGTATGCAACCCCCAAGTTACAGGCTGTTTGACAGTCCTGTGATGCTTGTTTTGCTGTCTGTGCCACTGTTCAGGAGATTTCGCCTCACTTTCTATCCCTATGAGAATTGGGTTAAGAAAAATTTGGCACAAACATATCAGCAGCAAAGTAATAATAATAATTACTATTTCATATTTAGGAATTACTTGGGATGAACTAACTTAGAAGGTAAATATGTTGTGATCCTGTTTTCCAAACAACATGGCATATAAAACACATTAACTATAGACTTCATGACTCTTCTAAAATCCTTACTAAACAATGCTAGCATTTACAAAGCAATATTTTAGAGGAAATAATTGTGCTTTCCTAAATGTTTTCTCTAAAGAAGCTGCATTTTAAAATACTACATTTAGCTATATTTTATTTTCAAACTGCAGTTTTCACATAATAGTATGAACGTTTTCTGTAAGTATTTACGTTTGGCTTTTCCATGGCAGCTAACAAGAACATAATAATAATAATAATAATAATAATAATAATAATAATAATAATAATGCTTTCCTAAATGTTTTCTCTAAAGAAGCAGTATCTTAAAATATTGCATTTAGCTATATTTTGTTTTTGAATTGCAGTTTTCATGTAGTAAGTAATATAAACATTTTCTATGGGTATTTACATTTGGCTTTTTCAAGATAGCTAACAAGAACAAAATAGGGTTGTTGTAGGTTTTTTCGGCTATATGGCCATGGTCTAGAGCAGTGTTTCTCAACCTGGGGGTCGGGACCCCTGAGGGGGTCGCGAGAGGGGTGTCAGAGGGGTCGTCAAAGACCATGAGAAAACACAGTATTTTATAGGGTGTGGCAAGTTTGGCCCAATTCTATCATTGGTGGGGTTCAGAATGCTCTTTGATTGTAGGTGAACTATAAATTCCAGCAACTACAACTCCCAAATGTCAAGGTCTATTGTCCCTAAACTCCACCAGTGTTCATATTTTTGGGCATATTGAGTATTCATGCCATGTTTGGTCCAGATCCATCATTGCTTGAGTCCACAGGGCTCTCTGGGTGTAGGTGAACTACAACTCCAAAACTCAAAGTCAATGCCCACCAAACCCATCCAGTTTTTTCTGTTTGTCATGGGAGTTCTGCCTGCCAAGCTTTGTTCAATTCCATTGTTGGTGGAGTTCAAAATGTTATTTGATTGTAGGTAAATTATAAATCCCAGCAACTACAACTCTCCAATGACAAAATCAATCCCCCCCCCCCCACCTCACCGTATTCAAATTTGGACGTATCTGGTATTTGTGCCATATTTGGTCCAGTGAATAAAATGCATCCTGTATATCAGATATTTACATTACAATTCATAACACTTGCAAAATTGCAGTTATGAAATAGCAACAAAATAATTTTATGGTTGGGGGTCACCACAACATGGGGAACTGTATTCAGGGGTCACAGCATTAGGAAGGTTGAGAACTACTGGTCTAGAGGCATTCTCTCCTGACGTTTCGCCTGCATCTATGGCAAGCATCCTCAGAGGTAGTGAGGTCTGTTGGAACTAGGAAAAAGGGTTTATATATCTTTATATTCACTACCTCTGAGGATGCTTGCCATAGAAGCAGGTGAAATGTCAGGAGAGAATGCCTCTAGACCATGGCCATATAGCCCGAAAAAACCTACAACAACCCAGTGATTCCGGCCATAAAAGCCTTCGACAATACAAGAACAAAATAATAATAATAATAATAATAATAATAATAATAATATCATCACTTCTTTCAGATCAAAATATCAGCATTACATTAATAAACAATTCAACAGCATCCCAAAGTTATAATGTCTAAGCTAACAAGAAGCATTTCAAAATGATGATGACAACAATAATATCAAATCTAATTTACTAATCTAATGCAATTCCAACAACCTACATCTTCTGACTGGAATTACCTTAGGGCCACATGCACAAGTAAGTTATTCTATGCAAGCGAGGCCCAAAAGTCATTGTGCAACAGGTGTATTCTGCCCAGTGACAGAAGCAGAGTTGCACAGAAAGCATATACACATGTTCCTTGCCTTGGTAAGTTGCATATTATGCATTGTGGTTATGCAAACTACATTTAGCATTCTGGCTGTGTGTTGTGCATTATGCAATGGCACACAGTCAGAGATATGTGTTGCTCAATATTGCTATCCTGCACAGGAGTTGTAAATTGTTGCTGTGGCATGTAGGTATTTATTTAAAGGGGATGTTGAATTGAAGCCTCTATAACTAAAATCAATAAAAGAGGTCCTCCCAGAGCTGCAGCCCTAGGAAAGCCTTGCTTGAATTTTAAATCTGTAAGCATATGAGTTAATCGCACAGACTACTTTAGATAAAAGAAACAATAACGAAAAAAGAAAACTTACAGCATTCAACGGGTATTGATGCAACTTGAAGGGACAAGACCTTTCCGCTAGGCTGGGGAATGTGTACTCGAAATACAAGCCGCACTCTGGTGTTTTTTCTTCCAATATCCGTCTCCCCCTTACGAAGTTCTATGTCTGAATTGCGAAGCTTCAAAATACCTGCGCAATCAATACTGTGGAGGACCAGAGAGTTGAATGCAAACAAGAGCTAGCTATACATTATTTGCTAAATAATTCAAATATACAGACTGCTTAGTCACTTATCTAAAATGGAAGCAACATCTGTAATAACAATTATCATTATCATTATTATTATTATTAGTAGTAGTAGTAGTAGTATTTAAAGATTGAACTGCAAACCTCTGGCACAAGCTAGTAAAGGTGGTCCCCGTGGTGATCGGCACACTGGGTACAGTGCCTAAAGACCTTGGCCTGCACTTAAACACAATCAGCACTGAAAAAATTACCACCTGCCAGCTGCAAAGGGCCACCCTACTGGGATCTGCACGCATTATTCCCCGATACATCTTGTCTCCTGCATATGTCAACAATTGGAGGACCCCCCCCCCCCACAAGTACGAACTGCCGCTCTGAGCCAGAGTGAAGGGGACAGTTCCACCTTGTCTCCTGTGCTATGCTAATTTATAATATAACTAGTTGTCGCCTGCCACGCATTGCTGTGGCCCACATGTGGGTTCTGTGTGGGAGGTTTGGCCCAATTCTATCGTTGGTGGGGTTCAGAATGCTCTGTGATTGTAGGTGAACTACAAATCCCAGCAACTACAACTCCCAAATGTCAAGATTCTATTTTCCCCAAACTCCACCAGTGTTCACATTTCAGCATATTGAGTATTCTTGTAGAGTTTGGTCCAGATCCATCATTGTTTGAGTCCACAGTGATCTCTGGATGTAGGTGAACTACAACTCCAAAACCAAAGGACACTGCTCATCAAACCCTTCCAATATTTTCTGTTGGTCATGGGAGAACTGTGTGCCAAGTTTGGTTCAATTCCATCATTGGTGGGGTTCAGAATGCTCAGATTGTAGTTGAACTATAAATCCCAGCAACCACAACTCCCAAATGACAAAATCAATTTTCTTGAGTGAAGGTTGTTAAGTGTCTTGTGTCCAAATTTGGCATCAATTCGTTCAGTGGTTTTTGAGTTCTGTTAACCCCACAAACGAACATTACATTTTTATTTATGTAATATAATATAATATAATATATTGTATATACATATAATATTTATAATATTATAATATAATACAGTATAATACTACTACTTTTATTTGTCGTGTCAGGGCAACCAGTCAACTACTACTACTAATAAGATATAATTATATATTTTATATTACATGTAATATTACTAATAATATTGCAATATAATTGTATAGTACAATATAGTGATGTATAGCGCTGATATTGTATTGTGGTAATGGTATAATGTATTGTATGTGTGTGTGTATATATATATATATATCTTGTAAGCCATTCTGAGTCCCCTTTGGTGTGAGAAGGGCAGCATATAAATGTCGCAAATAAATAAATAAATAAATAAATAAATCACATAGTCCTAGACACTTGGGAAGTGTCCGACGTGTAATCCAATACAGCAGCCAGCATAATGATCTTGTTTGCTGTGTACTAATCTTCTTGTGGTGGTAATAATAATAATAATAATAATAATAATAATAATAATAATAATAAGCACAATACTCCTGACCTCACGATCATATTAAACGGACTTAGGGCAGTTTACAACAAAAGTAACAGAGTGACAAACACTCAATGCCAAAATGAACAAAGAACAAATCAACCGGAGCCGCAACGGTCTGGTGGAGGGCGATGACAAGGCCCTCCTGGGTCTGGCTTGGAAGATGATGATGACATATCCTGACTGGCTCATAGCAGATTGCAGGCACCATATCATCTCCCACTATCATAAAAACAAGTTGCTGAATTGTTAACGGGTCTTTTGCTCTTGTCATCTATACACTCATGAAATCGGGATTCAACATATGAGCTCCCCCCCCCCCCCATGAGTCTATAGCATACATAGGGCAATCATTTGACATACCTGGCTGTCATATTATTTTCAGGAAGAAGTGGAATTTCCAAAACCTTTGTGCTAGTAATTATTATTTCTTGACTAGCAGTAGCAACTGTTTTTCCTGTGATCCTGTGCACCTGGTAAAAGGCGTGAGGTCGTAAATAACGATCATCTGCTGTTCCAATGAACATCTGTAGGTTTACTGGTTTTTCACTGTAACCCAAGAGCTGTCAGGAAGAGAGAGAAGAGATACGATCCTAGTTAGCCTGCTTTAAATGATATTTCTACAAAGCCAACTTCTTTTCTATAAATGTGATTCTGAAGGCAAGTCACAGAAATTCATGCTTATCTACAGCAGCATAAAAGTCACAGCGCCATTTTTTAATTACTATTTATTTATTTTATTTATTTACAGTATTTATATTCCATCCTTCTCACCCCACAGGGGACTCAGGGCAGATTACAATGCGCATATACATGGCAAACATTCAATGCCAATTAGACATACAACATATATAAACAGAAACAGAGGCAATTTAACTTTCCAGCTATTCTGGCTTCATGAGGGTATGCTCAATTCTGGCTCAATTCCAGCAACAGGGGAAGCTGCCACTTCACCATTCATTTGTGACACCGAAACCTTTGATGGAGTACTTCCTCATTCTTCTGCATGCCGCTGGAGGGTTTTACAGCATAATAAATTAGTTAAATTAGCCTCCCCGCATAAAGCGGCACCTAAATTTCCTACTTGACAGATGCAACTGTCTTTCAGGCTGCAAAGGTCGATAGCAAGCTAGACTAATGGCCAGAAGCTCACTCCAACCCATGTTGGCTTCGGACTCATGACCCTTTGGTTAGTAGTGAATTAATGCAGCTATTTATCAGCTAGTTGCCCCACAGCCCAGTATTATAAAATCTGTAACTGGAATTAGCCATTCCAGTTGTAATATACATCACTGAGAACAACTGCAAATTGCAAAACAAAGCTAAAACTATTTTGCTATATATGTTATTAGTTACCTCCACAGACCATTTGTTTCAAATTGTAATTGCCACATGGTAGAGAACTATACAGAAGATATATATAGCAAAATGTGCATGAAAAGATGCTACTATTGGAACTACAGTCAGTCCTCCATATACACAGATTCTGTATCCACAGTTTGAAAACATCCTTCAAAAAATCCCATTTTGCCGCTTTACGTAGAAGATATCATCCTACGATGCCATTATATATAATGGGACTTGAGCAGTCGCAAACTTTGAAATCTATGCAGTCTCAAACCAAACCACAGTGGATACCAGGGGCCATTGTATTTAAAAATCACACACATAGAAAAAAATCTTGACGTTCCTTTTGAATGTGAATTGATCTCCATTCCTTTGCGGGTGGTTTATACAGAACATAAATAGCAGATCTTGGAGCAGGTATTTAGGCTTGTATGCATAAAACCTTGAATATTTATCTGGGCCAACTTGCATAAATGCCTATGTAAGCAGACCCTTTCCAGTGCAAGAAACTCTCCTGGCTCTTTGTCACATGTAGATTCCTCCTTCTGGAACTCATAAAACAGCTCAGCTTTCAGCTCACCATATTTAGAGGATATTTAGTAAAGAGGACAGCAGCTCCTGTCTGCTCCTTTTGTTTCCTACTTTCGTTTCTTAGCTGAAAAGCACAATTTTGCTATGCGATTTCAATTATTTTCTAGGGACTGAACCGACCGAAAAGGAGAAGTTTTCAAGAATATAAATATTAGTGCTTCTGAGACACAGAAAAGCTATAAATAAAATGAAGCAATGCTGTTTAAATAATCGTCTTGCCATTGCTTCGATGGTAATGCAACTTTGAAGTTATTTTTAAAATTATCTCACACTACTAACAAATATTTTTGTTAGGAAATCACTTTGCCCAAGACATTTGGGACTCTTTATTACCAATAAAATAGAGGACTCAATGAAAAAAGATGGTGTTTCATTAAAAAATAAGTCTAAGTAACTTACCGTATGTACTCAAGTATAAGCTGGGTTTTCAGTCCTTTTTTAATAATAATAATAATAATAATAATAATAATAATAATAATAATCCACCTTTATTTACACCCCGCCACCAGGAGACTCGGGGTGGCTTACATGAGGCCAAGCCCAACAACACATCAGTAAACAACAAAGCAAGAGGCAAATAAAACAATATAATTAATCTAACTCACATATAGACAACAACACGAAAAAATTTAAAAACTTAGGGCCGGGCGAGATGTAATAGTTTAACATTTTTAAAAATAAATGCTGGGCATGAACAGAGATAGGATATATCTAAGCAGGATGGTTTTACAAGAAATGTAGGGAGAGCAACCCAACGGGTAGTTAAAGTGCATCTGAGGACATTTTGCAGGGAATTGTTTCCTTTATTCAGGGAAGGCACACTGGAACAGCCACGTTTTCAGGCTCCTCCTAAAGACTGCCAATGTGGGGGCTGAAAAAGCCCCTCTCAGCTTATACTCGAGTCAAAGTTATTTCTTATTTTAATCTGTTGTTGTTGTTGTTGTTATTATATTACATTTATTATTTTATTCTATTTACTATTATTATATATGCATCATTTCAATCTACTAGTATTATTTTTATTACATTTGTTATTTTACGATTTATTATTATTACTAGGTTCTTGTGGGTTTTTTCGGGCTAACAGGTCATTGTTGATAACAAGGGGCCTCCTACCTCTGAGGATGCTTGCCATAGATGCAGGCGAAACGTCAGGAGAAATGCCTCTAGAACATGGCTCTATAGCCCGAAAACCCCCACAAGAACCTAGTGATTCCAGCCATGAAAGCCTTC